TATACAAGTAAATAAAGCATTTAGAGCAAGTCCACCTTAAAAAAAAAAAATTTATTAACTTATCAACAACTTACCAGTAGCTTACCACGGTAAGTTACCACTAACAACCCTGATCAATAGATTGAAAATTTCTTAATTTAATAATAAAACTTTGGTTCAATATTAAAATGTATTTATTTATATAAAAATATAAAAAAACCTTTTAAACCAATCTCACGGCAGAAGTACAAAGAAATATTATACATAAAATAGGTATATAAGATTATAACTCGGTGTGTTATGAAATTTTGTTAAAAAAGTTATTTTGCTTCAAATTGATAGCAGTTCGATATGGAGCACTTATTGGAGGTTGTAAAGGATCCAAACTTTCTTTCTGTAATATAAAAAATTTAGTTAAAAGATAATTTATAATTTTATTTTAATTGTAGAGCTAAGTCTGATAATTTACCTCAAGCGGATACGTCATGTCTGAATCAAATCCACTGGATAGAAGAAAAAAAATTTTAATTATATCAGAGAATATTTATTTATTAAACTATTATTAATATACCTTAAGTCACCACAAGCTATAAATGGCACGATCACACGATTTGGACCCAAAAGTTCATTTCCTAAACCTTAATGGGTAATTGAGCTAGTCAATTTTATTATAAAGAAAAAAGACATAACATAATAAGTTACAAACCGTATGATAAATCAAGTAAAGGATCTATCATTGTTGGTTTATAATCTTTGGGTGGCGTATAATTTTGACAAACAACAAATGCTTCTAGAAAAATATTAAATTCGAACATGAACATTTTGAAGGAGAAAAATCATTTGCAAAGAGATACCCAAATAAATAGACGGACCGATACTGGAGTTTCTTGAACTTCTTGGCTTGCTGCAAGTAACGGTTGGAAAAAAGATTTTAAGTTGAGCATATAATAAAGTGACATCTTTACCACGAAAAATTTTTGCAACAAAAGTTCCACCAGGTTTCAATATATTAGTTGTGATATTTAAAGCCGACAATAATAACTGTGCTTGAATGTATTCATCCATATCATGAAGGCCAGTCACTTTAAAATGGTTAGAGTTAGAATGAAAAAGAAAACATTTTAAAAAAGTAATTTAGAAAATAATTTACCATCAGGAGCACCATCACAAACAACAAGGTCAGCCAATTCCCCTTCAAAGTGTGAAACAATTTGTTCAGCAGTAGATACTTTTGTAATGTCACCTTGGATTTGAATTACACCTTCAAGAGGTGCCTAAAATGAATTAGAATATATATCATCAGTTTCTTAATAAATCCAAAATGTATATATATACATACCATTGCTTGCAAATCTACGGCAACAATCTTTGGTAACGGAGCATCTTCCGGACGAATTTCACTGTAATGAGGAAATTTGTTGATTACCGATAATTTATGATTTTTGTTTAATAATTTAAAATAAAAATACTTTAGTTTCTTTGAAAAGACTTGAGACCAGCTGCCTGGTGCAGCACATAAATCAACAGCCCGCTGAACGCCTAAACTTTATATTTTGGTTAATTTTTTTTTGCAAAAGAATAATGATGAAAAATTAACCAAATCACCTTCAAATATATTAAATTCTTCGTCTATCTGTAATAATTTAAATGCACTGCGAGCTCGCCAACCCTGCTCTTTTGCTAATCGGTAATAAATATCACGTTTATCCTTGGATGATTTTCCCATCTAAAATCAATTTTGATATTGCGCATGAATAATACGAAGTTTATGTTCATCGTTATCTGTTGATTATTGGAACATATGATTAACCGCAGTCATTTTCCATTTTTGATTAGTACTCGTCAGGGGACGATGATTTTCTACTGCGATTAAGACTAAATTCTGCATGTGGTTAAGAAAAATTCTGTGGTGTGATGTTCTGTTTTTTTAGTGTATTCTACGAAATTCTGTGATAATAAAGTTAGTTTTGTATAATTCTGTGGTAGTTTTAGTGTTAATTCTATGGTTTAATGCGTTTAAAAATTAAAATGTGTCTATGTTCACAGTAAGGTAATTGCCAAATATCGTGAGATGATTGGTCAATGTCATGTAATATCACATACAAAAATTTTAAGATTCTGTGCTATTATTTTAAATTCTGTGATATTCTGCGATGGCCGAAGTTAATTTTTGCGGTTAGCTGTTTTTAAGAAAATTTTCTATGA